TAAAACCGTGTTTCTGTTGGCTGAACTCACATTAAATAGTCATCCTGAGCTCTGCAGGGGGAAAAAAAATATCCCAAAGCATTTACATGATTTCTGACACTGTGAAAATAAAAACAAGTCTACCAACATCACAATTACATACTATTACAGGGATGGAATTATTTAGATTGTGGAAGTTTAATTATAAAAAATTGCATTTTAATTGATTGCTGCTGGAATAATTACAGCCACACCTTTCCAAGAAATGGCGACCATCCCATGTTTGTCAACAAACTTCCTTTAAATTTGACACGCAATAATTGTTTAATTAAGATTAATTTAGATCCTCGTTTGAGAACATTCAAATGTTTGCCTATTCCTTCCTGTCTCTGAGACGTAATTTAAGAGATAAAAAGCAATCTCCAGAAATACTCTATCTATATATGTAAGTATCCAAGATGAAGCAGAAGAAATACTTCATTATATGGCTGATCTGGATCTAAGCTTGCTGCTATTGATAAGAACATAAGCACAGAGTGAGTGATTGCTACAAATCCCTCTCTAATTGGTGCTGGGAGGCCTTCATAAAATATGAACAGTCTCCAAACTACACGTTCATTTTCTAATATGCAGAACAGATTCAACTGTTGATATTCTAGCAGCACCCACAGCCCGTGCTCCGTACGAGGACCACACACTAACTGTAGCTGTGCATACACAGAAGGAGAGGGATAAACAATTAATTGCTTTTCAGTCTCTTTACAAGTTTTGTTGCACCTGCAAAATCCTGCTGCTGTCCTGTGCAGACCTCTGTGCTTCAGGTGTGCAGCTGCTCAGTGTCCCCTCTCAGTATCTCAGCACCGACGCACGCACACGAGCTGGTCCCTGCGCCTGCTGAGCTCTGGGGCTCAGTGCTGAAGAGGGGTTTTCAGTCGCTGGTCAGCCCTGCAAGGTGTCCTGAGTTTTGCAGTGACAGATTTACCAAGCTGGTGACTCACCTTCTGTGAGCATCGCTCAACAGGAGGGCATGTCCCCCAGGCCACTGCGAGGGACATCTGTTGCTGAGCCATCATCTGCCCCGGGCAGCGAGAGCAGCCACCGTCTGCCTGGCACTGCCGGGGCGCACCGGGGGACTCCAGGAGTGTCTGCACCACAAATTCAGTAAAGCTCAGGAGCTGGGGTTGAAGCAACTCATACCCCCGAGGGCTCTGCGCAGGACAGGGATGTGTGTTACATGTGCACGAGTGGAGGATGAGACAAAGAATAACAGAAAACTATTCCCAGCACTGGTTGTCTCAAGCAAGCAGCCTCTCTGCTGCCAGCAGGACACGGTGCTCGTGTCCACTGCGGACCTCCCAGGGACAGGAATTTGCAGCTCTCTCCTCAGCTTCAACCCTCCTGCACCCTTGCATCTGGCACAGAGCATCCTCCTGCCGCACCCCTCGGCTCTGCCCTGCAGCATCCCCTGCCACGTTAGCTATGCCCTGAGCACAGTCATGGCAAAAGCCAGCAGGGCAGAGTTTGCTAGGGACTGTGGTGAGGCTGTGAAGCTCTTTTCCAAATACGGCTGAAGACAGAACCTGTGAACAATGTCTTTAAAGCTGATCAGAAGGGTTTTGCTCTGCTACGTCACTGGGCAAACCTCTCAGCTGTGCCACACCATCGTTTTACCCTTTATAGTCCCCTGGCATTGCTATACACTTCTGCCAAAGGAAGGACTCTGAATTCACCTTCCCCCAAACAATTGCCTTGGCCTTCAAACAAATGGCACAAAAATATGAAGCCTCCTAACCTTTAGATAAGAACCCTCAAAGCGGCAGATGTGTATTTTCATACTGGTTAGCCACACCACATGCCCAGCTGCACACACAGAGCCTGCTCACTGCCATCTCTTCTGTGGGATGGAATGAATTCAGGAAGATATTTCAGGTATTGAAATGTGCCTGTGGTTCAGTGATGTTACAACATTAGCAGCAACCACACACATGAAACACGAGGTTACTGCACGTTGGATCTTCCATCTATTTTTGCGTGCTTAATAATTACACTTTGCTTAAAATGATAAGCTACTGGTGTGTTATGCACATGGACCGTGGAACCCATAGGCAGATGCTGCCCCACACAGAGGTGTTCATAACTAACAATAAAAAGTCCACATCAGAAATAAAAAAGTTGTCACAGTGACAGCCCAGTGACAACAGCAGCCTCCTGATATTTTACAGATTTATCACTTTCATGGATATTATCGTTACCAATTTACGATTGTCACTGGCACATCATCAACGGCTCCCTATCAGTGTCACCTGTGCACAAATGGGTACATCTCCTACTGTAAATTCCCCCACTGTCACACCAAAGCTTGCTCATCCTAACTGCTGAGCAGATCTATGTCAGGCAGAGGTAGACAGTGTCACAGCTGATGCTGAGATACATTTAGCATACAATCTCCTTAGACAGGGTGCTGTCATTTCACTGCAGTTCATTCTGCCACCTCAGCATAGCTCTGCAAGCTGCCCAGACAAGGTTTTTTGCTTCTGCCATCACCACTGATTCTTAATATACATTCTGTATTTTGAATGATGCTGCTTCAGGCACTTGGCATAAGGACTACATTTAGCACGAGGCCAGGTCCTCGCACAAGGCAGGGCTTGCCGTGGGCCTGGGACCTACTAGTCTTCTTCAGATGTCATGTTGGAGACCCTGACAGGGTTTACAGGGTCCAAACACCCTTGACTTAACCATCAGAGAAAGAGGTAACGCCAATGACAAGGAAACGCTGCATTCTCCATCTCCATGGGAACAAAACTGGTTCCTTTAACTGGTAGCATGGCCAGTCTTTTCGCAGAAGATAAGGACCACTGCGTGGGCAGGGATTTTATTCTCTACAAATAAACAGATCTTTTTTTCTGATATATAGTCTTGGCAACCAGAAAGGGAATTTGCTGGAAGATGAGGAAGGATATAATTCCTGGCAAAAGTTTCACTCCAGCCTTAGAGTACTAAAAGCAGGTCTCCCAACAGCCCGGGTTTTTTTGGGTTGGGTTTTTTTTTCCCCCTAGGGTATGTAGAATAACACCTTCTTTTGTGCTTACAAAACAAATGCTGCCTTCCATAGTGTGGAAGAACTTAGGAAGTTTTTAATTATAAGAAAAGAAAAATGAGGACAAGTGAGGTTGGACTGTGCCGGGTGCTCTGCTGGTCTGATCTAGGACAATGTGCCCTACATAGAGCTCAAATATAACATCCTTTGGGAGGCTGTCTTGCTTCCATTCAGCTTTTGTGAGACCACCCCCGCCCCTGGGGTACTAATGACAGCTTTCTGAAGCATAACTAGTATCGTGGTCTGGCTATCAACGTTAATGCAGTAAACAAAACCATTAGTGGCAGGCACAGGAAGGAGGGAAAACTATGCGCAGATGGAGAATTTATTCTAGCAATATTCTCGCTTTCTTCCTGCTATCAGCACTGAAATAGCTCATCCCCAGCCACAGTCAGCAACTCTGCCCCAGGTGGGTGACGCTTTCCCTTGATAGATACAAAGTCCGTCTTTTTTTCTTCTATTTGTCTAGTTTTCCTGCCAAGGAAGTGCCATTGGATTGAGCTGAAATAGTTGCTCTTCCTTGATGGAAACCTTGTAGTTGGCAAATAGAGGGATATTAAGGAAAACAGAAAATCTTTAGATGTGTCATTAGGCACCTCAATGAAAGTGTGGCCAAATTTACTTCTCTCTCTATCTCATACTGGCCAGGAAATTCCTGCAATCTCGTATTTGCAAACCCTCCTGTAGAATAAAATCACAACTTTTTTTTTTTTTTTTTTTTTTTTTTTCAAAGAGCCTTATTAATTCTCCTCCTGTACATTCCTGGTTCTTTTTGCAGGAACGCATTTTTCCATTCTGTGTATTTCTTAGCAGAGAGAACAGTTTGTGTCCACCTCTACCCCTCTCTCCACATGACTAAACTGCAGAGAGGATGTTTCGGGGAATCAAAAGGATACTACGGATGTGAGCCAACAACAACCCAACAGGCTCTAGGAAGGGAAGGGTTCCTCCAGTCCCTCCTGACACTCCTCGTACACACACACACAGGCTCAGAGAGTGAAAGCAGTGTCTGACACCAGGTCGAACCGAGAAATTCTTTGTGCTGGCGGCGCGAGCCCCTCATGCAGCACCGCGCGGCTTGCTCCAAGGGAAGCAAATGCTGCAACAGCCCCTACAGCAACTGCAGGGCTGTGTTACGGGTTTTGTTTTCCTCTGGTTCCCTCCTGCTCTTATTTCTTGCTGCTAATCTTGGCATTACCTGGCAAGCCAGTTTTTTTTTTTTTTTTCCTTTTCCCAACTCTATCATATAACAAGAACAGCACTGCTAACGTGCTGTGCTTTAGCAGGGCACACATACACCCTAGGACTGGCTCTGTGGTGCAAATTCAGTCTTTAATACTTGGTTTTGGAACCAATTATTTTGCTGGTTTTTGAAACTAGAACTCTCTTACCTCTGCCATTATTAGGCATGCCCCTTACTGTGGATCTGGACTCCGCTTGCACCAAGCTGCTGTTTTCCGCTAGGTCTCTCTTAAATTATCAGGACAGATGGCTAAACTAGGGCTGGAGAAGAAGTTGTTCACACTAAACAGAGATTTCTCTGCACCCCGTGGGTGGAAAGGGGTGTCTTTGTTGTACACTGCTGCTATAGAAAACATGGGAATGAAACCTCAACATAATGAGTTGGGCAGAGGTTAGAGAAACAAGAGGAAATGAATCGTTGGGGGTTTTACACCACTTTGGAAGCAACAGAAGAGAAAATGCAAGACATGCTGAATAACTGCAGCACTACCTCACCCCTGTGTCTCAGCACAAACCAAAATGATTCCGAAATCCTTTGCCTGCATGTTTGGGGTTGTCTTACACGGACCCTAAAGGAGTCGCATGTTTAGAGATAAATCTTTCATATTTCAGACACAAAAAACCAGTCAGAAATAAAGAAACCAAAGTAAGAGAGAGCACGGCAAACGCCGCTACTTACAGGTGTATGTCATTTCAAAGCTGTCGCTAATGTTCACAATGTCGATCTGGGGAAGGAGCTTAGGGGGTTCCGTGAGCTGAGACAACGCAAACCTAAAAGCTGCATGTTCCTGGGACTGTTGATTAGGAAATAACCCCCCTGGGGAGAAAAACAGAACAAGAAGAAAGGTCTTAAGCATACTCATATTGGCAACCTGTGAGTAAAGGCTACAAGGTCCCCAGCCCAGGGAGTGCCCCTACACTCCAAAACCCTCCCGCACACAAGACCTGGGGGGTTTCATGCCCACTGTGGACAGGCTGGGAGCAGAAAACCTTTCCAACCCATGCATTATGTAATGTATGTATAGGAGCTCTGATGCATCCCTTGGCCCAGCAGCCTGCGGGCTCAGGATGAACCATAGGGTTTGGCTCAACCTCCTCACCCCCCACAACTTTAGGGAAGAGCAATGGAAGTGCTGCCACCAACACGACATTGGTAAAGATGGAATGAGTGTCTTTTTTCCTCCTCCCCTCACTTGTAATTAGGCTCGGTTTAAACCCTGCTGACTAAGAGAAGGGGTTTGCTCCAGAAGGGGTGCAGGGGTTCCCCGACACTATGGGTTATGGGACAGACTGTCTGAGCCTGGCCTGCCAGGCACAGCGCTGGGTGGCTGAGGACAGGCTGTGAGATCCACAGCAACGTGGGACCCATGGACAAACGCCTGCTGCTGCTGGAAGTTTGCTGCATGGAAAAACCCCAAATTTAACAGGTGACAGTGGCCAAACTCAAAAAGGGCAGGAAATCAAAAGCTTCTCCTTCAAAGGGATCGATCTGAGCAGAAGTACAGACAAGCCCAGAACCACAGGATGATATAAATAGGATAGGAACTGGGACCAGACTGAACCCAGACTTTCTTCCCCTATGGACCTAGAACAAAGTGCTGCGATCACCCGGCCGAGGAAAAGTTTCCTGCTGCTCCCACAGCAGGAAACTTGGCTTGCAGCAGATCCCTTCACAGCCTCCCAAAAGATGCTATTGAATTCAGACTGTCTTGTAATCTATATGCATTTAAAGGGAGCACTGTTACTGGCATTTTATCAGTAGGGAAACAAAACACTTAGCAAGAAGGGAGAATTAAAATAAAGCAGCAGAAAGTACCAATGCCCACCCTTCGGTGCAGATTGCTTGGGGAAAAAACAAATGTGCAGGGACCTGCTATTACGTTAATAAAGACTGCACTTTGCACATCTTTAGTAGAGAGGAGCACCTCCTCATTGTGTGGAAAAGGCTATTGTGCATGAATGTTCCCCCTTTCCCTGTCTCTCCCACCCCCCCAGTCTAATAATGGGTGTCAGAGGAATAAGATGCTAGTAGCCAAGTTACATGTGTTTATTGAAAGGGCAAAAATCTGGGATGTTGCACAAATTTGGGGTAAAGGGGAGGCAGGAAGGGAAGGAGATGAGGATGCAGCATCAACAGCAATAAAAGCACCGATTGTGCAGCTGGTCTCAGGCAGGAGTTGCCTGAACTTGGGGGATTAGCAATTGATTGGCATTGTAAAGAGAATGGAGGTGGGAAAGAAACCCGGCATGCACAACGGAAGAGAATTTGGGAGCTGGTTACAAATCATCATCAATAAAGATCAATGGGAGAGTGATAATAAACCTGGGGAGGGAGGGAGAGGAGCACTGAAGTTACAGAGAGGGAGAAAGGAATCAAACAGGCAGTGCTGGTGCGCAGGGGGAGCAAGTAGCATGAAATGAGAAGAGACTTCAATGCAAAATCTTCCTCCAATAGCTCTGCCCTTATTCTTTAGCAACAACAACAGAGAGCGCCTGTTCGTTACCTCTCGTCCCAGTTACCTACAGATGAGAGCACCCTCACCAAAATGTATAATGCAACCGCTCATTTTGCAAATGCAGCAACGCACAACAGAAACCCAGGCATTTCTTAGAGGAAGAAACGGATAATTTCTTCGTGCTTCCTCCATTTCAGAGGCACTTTTCTCTCCGTGTTGGTGCATGTGCAGGCATTTCTTCCCCATCTTCCCCTCCCCCAAAGCTAAATTGATAACATCTCTGCTCTTGCAAAGGGGATACCAACACCCAAACCCAGCCCTCGCAGTTCACCCCCTCGCTCTCTCACACATACATACACACACAGAGACACATTTTGCCTTTGCAAACACATAAACGGGTCAGTTTTCCCCCCACCCCTACCCACTTGCGGGGGGAGCATCACTCCCAAACAGCCCCGAGCTCTGCACTCACCTATCTGGATATTGTTGGGGAAATTGGCCCCTAACACCGCCCCTAGGAAACTGGTGCAGAAGAAGGCAAAAATGTGCTGCATATTCCCTTTTGCATTGGCGAGAAAGAAGCCCAGTTCCGAGCATAGATTTGATTTTTCCCCCGCTCTTGCTCTCTTTAGCCTCCTCTCTCGCCTCCCCTCCGCGGCACCTTCAGGGCTGCGCGTCTCCCCCGCTCGGAATCCAGCGCTGA